GTGTGTTGGAGCTGGAAAACCTCTAAAACATGCAGGATAGCGGCCCTCGAGGACTGGAGTTTGACACCCCTGGTGTAAAGACTTGACAGAAAATGACATGAATCCAGATTTTTGCACAGCTTTTGGCTTTTAAAGACTATGGTCTTAAACTTTTGATCAGCTGAAAAATCATGTTTGAGTGTAAATGCAGTTTTCAGAAAATTCCCTGCTCAAAAGTTCTTGTCTCTTGCACTGATTTCTTCTTTTAACATTGTGAAGCTCAGTTACATGTTATTTTTGCTACAATTTTACATTCAGCACTAATAAAGGAGCAGGTACAAAGTTTCTATCTTTTTAAAAAAAAAGTTTTTCTCTGGTTACTTCTGTCCATGTAAACAGCTAATTTAGGTTATCAAATGATTTGTTGCTGACAGGTTAAGACAGGTTCATGCAAACAAAACTACTGATGTTAATCCTTTGGTATTTAATGGAAATATTACGTTTTGTCATATGTGAACAGGTGATGGCAACCCTTTGACTGGGACCTCCATCTTTTCACACACAAGAAATATTGAGTATTGTAAAAGAATTCAGAGATGAAAGGTCAAAAGATTGGATTAACATGGATATGATGGTAGTGAAGGAGATAATTGGTTGTGTTATTGAGCCATTTACATATACTGTATATGCAATTTATCATTTTCAACAGGAATTTTCCCAAATGACATGAAAGTAGCTAAGGTAATTCCTATCTATAAGAATGGTGGAAAATATGTGTTTAACAATTACAGACCAATATCCTTGTTGCCACAGTTTTCAAAAATTTTAGAGAAATTATTTCTGACAAGATTGGACCAATTCATCAACAAACAAAATATTTTAAGTAGTAGTCAATACGGGTTCAGCACAAAAAATTCTACAGCAATGGCTCTCATGGAATTAATTGAGCAAGTAACAACCACTGTTGACCAAAAGCAGCATTGTGCAAGCATTTTTGTTGATTTAATAAAAGCATTTGACACTAGTGACCATAGAATTCTTCTCCAAAAGCTGAATCAATATGGTATTAGAGGACCGGCATTACAGTGGATATCTACGGTAGCTATTTGAAAGATAGGAAACAGTTTGTACAGATAAATGGAGATCTAAACTTTGTAACATAACCTGTGGAGTTCCTCAGGGTTCCATACTTGGACCAAAGTTGTTTATACTTATGTGAATGATTTGGTAAATGTGTCAGAGTTTTTCAAATGTATTATTTGCAGATGATACTACATTTTTTTGTTTGGGTAAAGATATCACATGCTGGTAAAGATGCAAGTGGAATTTGTTAAAATACAAACTTGGTTTAGACTTAACAAGTTGTCATTAAATTTAGAGAAAACTAATTATTTTGCATTTAGTAATAGAAAGAAAACTATTGATGTTCCATTTAGAGTCGATAGGGTAGAGATTTGAAAAATCAGTGAGGTGAAGTTTTTGGGTGTAGTGATAGATGAAGGGTTGACTGGAGACCTCACATAAATTATTTAAGAACAAAGATGGCTAAGTCTATTGCAGTTCTGTATAAAGTAAGGGAGTTATTTAACGATAAAGCACTGTATATGTTGTATAATGCAATAATAAGTCTCCATGCTCGAGGAGACCCAATAAACATTTATTAAGGCTGTAGTTCAGGGGTGTCACTAGGTTTTAAGGACAAGGGGGCTTAGCCCCCAGGAAACGCACAGAATTTTTGCATAGTATATACTTGTATTGTGTGTGTGTGTTATGTATATATATATATATATTAAAAAAAAATTCCCTTCTCACCCTCCGCGGGTGGTCTCTTTCATCCTCTGAGCTCGGGTCCTCTACCAGAGGCCTGGGAGCTTGAGGGTTCTGCKCAGTATCTTAGCTGTGCCTAGAACTGCACATTTCTGGACTGAGATGTCTGATGTTGTTCCTGGGATCTGTTTTAGCC